TACAAAGCAGGCGCTTATGCCGCTGAACTAAATCCCCGACTCCTTCCTTGAATCTTTGATCAGTAATTAGGCTTTCGTTCTTTACGTTCTTTAGCTCCATGCAGAATAGTTTGGGCAGATGAAGCCAGGTGTGGTGGTGCACACCTGTGATTCTAGCACTTGGGAGGCTGAGGCAGGAGGATTGCAGCAAGTGTGAGATCAGCCTAGTCTGCACAGTAAGTGTAGGCTAGCCTGAATTACATTGTGAGACCCCATCTCAAAAACCAGGGAAGAAATTTTGTTTAGGCGCAGTGAGAAGTCATTGCTTTATGTTGGAGGGGCAGTGTTGGCCAGTGCCAATAATGCAGGTTGGTTGTGGGGCTTACGGTGCTGCTTCCCTCAGGGCTTCCCAGGGAGGGACAGAGGCTGGGCGAAAGAGCAGTGTGCCAGGGAGGGATAGGCCGCCTAGGCTTAGTTCCTGGCCTGATGACTTAGGAGTTTTGTGTCCATCGGTGAATCCTGTAACCTCGTGAGACCTTGATTTCTTCATCTTTCTTACAATGTTTGGTAATTGTCGTGGGCTCCATGTATAAGACAAGGCATGTGAAGCAGTAATCATAGTGCCTGGGTGTTCTTGAGGTGTGCTGGGCTCCAAGTAAAGTAGTACTTCCAGAGTGCTTGTCCTCAGGTTTAAAGAATATATTGTGCATTTCAGCAGGATGTGGTGGTGCATGTGTGTAATTGTAGCCCTCTGGGAGGCTGAGGCAGGAGGATCCCCAGTTCAAGCTCAGCATGAGCAATTTAGTGACTTAGACCCTGTCTGAAAATAAAAAATAAAAAAGGCTGAGGATGCAGCTCAGTAAGGCCCTGGGTTTAATCCCTAGTTCTTTTTACTTTTTTTTTGTCTTTTTCCTTTTTATCGGTACCGGGGATCAAACTCACGACTGCCTGCTTGCAAGGCAGGCGCTTATGCCGCTGAGCTAAATCCCCAGCTCCTAATCCCTAGTTCTAAGGGAAAAAAAAATCGTTTCAGGCAGGGAACTGAGCTGGAAGTGTAGCTTAGTGTAGAGCACTTGTCTAGCAGGCAAAAGACCAATAGTTTGATCCTGAGCACCTCAAAATAAATAATCAAGGAACTTTGTAACTTCTCCTTGTTGGGAAGATAACATTTGTTTACTTTTTATTTTTCCTCCTGGTTTTCTGAGACGGGGTCTCCCTATGTAATTGAGAATGGCTTTAAACTCATTATGTATCCCATGCTGGTCTTGAACTCGTAATCCTGCCTCATCCTCCCAAGTGGTGGGATTACAGGTGTGCACCACTACACCCAGCTAATATTTGCTTATTTGTACTGCTGGGATCGAATCAGCAGCACTTAGAAGCAGTGAGAGTTTGGAGAGAATCCAGATTGATTTCTCTTGCTTCAGTTTAAAAGTTTGCCACCTGGTTCTCTGTGCTAAGTGCACACATTTCTGCTCTATAAGCCAAAAACCAAGAGTTGTCTTGAAATGTTACTAATATTAGTTACAGTGTTCACTTACAACTTAAACCCAGCTGTTCACAGAAGCTCTTACTATTGCCACCAGATGGTCTCTCCCCCTCCCTCTCCCTCCCTCCCCCTCCCTCTCTCTCTCTCTCTCTCTCTCTCTCTCTCTCTCTCTCTCTCCCCCTCTCCCTCTCCCTCCCTCTCCATCTCTCTCCCTCTTCCTCCCTCTCCCTCCCTCCTTCCTTGGCAGGGTGGGAAAAGGCCGGAAAGGGGGTGTTATCCAGGTTGTCTGACAGGGGCTCTTGAACCACACTTTGGTTTGTGTTAAAAGTAGGAACTTTTCTCCATTAAAGTACAATCTTTTTTTTTTTTTTTTTTTTTTTTTTGTCTTTTTTGAGACAAGGTCTCGCTATGCAGTTCAGGCTGGCCTTGAGCTCACTTTGTAGCCCGGGCTGGTCTCAAACTTGCAACGATCCTCCTGCCTCAGCCTCCAGAGTGCTGGGATTACAGACGTGAGCCACTACGCCTGGCTAATAAAGTGCCAGCAACATAAAAAGCATGAGATTTGGGGGCTGGGGATTTAGCTCAGCGGCATGAGCACCTGCCTTGCAAGCAGGCGGTCGTGAGTTTGATCCTCGGTACCAATAAAAAAGAAAAAGACAAAAAAAAAAAAAGCATGAGATTTTATTGGGATCAGCTTGAAAAGCAAACATCACAGAAGTTTACCCACCCCTCTTACATGGCAAGGTTTACATTGGCCAGGAATCCCTCAGGTCTGCCAGCTACACACCGGGAAGGCAGAGTTGTGTCGCAGGAATTGCTTCAAGGTACAGTAATCATTCCTTACTTGTGGTTTTGTTTTCTATAGTTTCAGTTACCTGTGGTCTGAAAACATTAAATAGGAAATTTCAGAAATAAATACTTTGTAAGTTTCAAAGTGCATGTTACTCTGAGAAGCTACTGAAATTCTGTGCAGTCCTGTGGCCTCCCACCTGGACTGTGGGTCCTCCCTTTGTCCGGAGTAACCATGCTGTAGATGTTCTGTGAGCGCCTTGGTAGCGGAAACAGTAGGTAGAGATTTCAGTATTACTGTCAGCGTCAGGCATATATCAGGGCTATTGAATGTTTCACCTTCTGCTAAAGGGCTGAGGGATTGGGCCACCGTGTGGAGTTCCAAGCTTGGGATCACTTGGCGCAAACACAGCCTCAGATCACCATGAATCCCCCAGACCTGGAAGCCCTGAAGAGGTAGGTTTCAGCTAGTGTTAGAAAAAGTGTAGAGAGGGCTGGGGATTTAGCTCAGCGCCTACTTGCTTACAGTGGAGAAGGGTTCCTTCCCACCCCCAGCCCCTCCAGCGTGTGTTGTTAATTGATGTAGGGAGTACTAGGTATAAATAGGTGAAATTTTAAACCTTCACTGATGAGTCAAACCAGATATCTTAGTGTGGGCTACTGTGTTACCAGATGGTCTCGCATGCATCTTGTTTAGAAGCAAAAAGAAGAAAAATGTATATGGAAGAGCAGGGAGAAGGAAATGTGGCAGTCCATCAAAGAAAAGAAGACCATTTGAGTTAAAATGTATTTAAGTTAATTGTAGGCTTGGCATGGTGGTGCATGCCTGTGATCCCAGCACTTGGGAGGCTGAGGCAGGAGGATCACTGTGAGTTCCAGACCAGCCTGGGTTACAAAGGGAGCTCAAGGCCAGCCTGAACTGCATAGCAAGATCCTGTGTCAAAAAGGCAGGCAGGCAGGCAGGCAGACAGACAGACAGACAGAAAGTTTAGTTTAGTTATATATACATTTTAGATATATATAATGATCACATTCATTATAGGAGTTTGTACCTGTTCATGATGTATCTCGCTTCTTCTGTTTTTCCCATTTCCTTCCCCTCCCTTCAGCCCTTCTTTCCCTCCTTATTTACAGAAACTTTGTTTTCAATTTTTCCTTCTTGTTTTTTTTTTTCTTTCTTGTCTCTTCTTTCCTCCACTTCCTTGTTCCCCTTCTCACTTGAATATTTTTTTCTATTTCACAGTACCTGTTTGCACTTTCGGTTTCTCACAGTGCAAACCACTGTACACTGTAACTACTGCAAACAATGTGGTGCTTACAGGAGTGTCTGATTTATTTCACTTAAACAGTATGGTCTCAAGTTGCATCCATTTACCTAGAAATGTCTTGAGTTTATCCTTCTTTATGGCAGAGTCATATTCCATTGCATTAAAAACCTCACATCTGTATCCATTCACCAGTTGATGGGCATTTGGGCTGCTTCCAAGACTTGGTCATTGCAAACTGTGGCACAGTGAACATATTTTTCTGTAGTGTGGTGTTTTTAATTCTTTCGGGAAGGTACAAAAAAGGGAAATAGTTGGGTTGAATAAGACCTCTAGTTTTGTGAGGAATCTCCATACTGATCTCCACAGTGGCTGCACCAGTGTACCTCCCACCAACAAGGAACAGTGGAGAAGGGTTCCTCCCCCCCCAGCCCCTCCAGCATGGGTTGTTAGTTGATGTCTTGATAATAGCCATTCTTTCTGGAGTGAGGAAGAAAACTCTGCTTTCTTTATCCGGGGCCCCTTATGTCTAGATGCTTTCACTTCACAGCTTTCAGGATCCATCTGTGTTGCAATGTTTTATTGTTTCATTCCTTTTAATGACCGAATAACGGCCCAGTCCGCGATACAGACACCCTAAATTTTGTTTATAGTTTGTCAGTGGATCAATACTTGGTTGCTTCTGCCTCTTTTTTTCTTCTTTTTCTGTTTGTGTTTTGAGACAAGTTCTGATGAGTGTAATACAGGTTGGCCTTGAACTCCCTATGTAATTTGCAGTCCTCCTGCCTCAGGTTCCCAGAGTGCTGGGAATACAGGTATGTGGCATCACACCGGCTTAAAAAATAACCATTCAGACCATCACGTAGCACACTTCACATACTTACGTGTGTGCCAGTGGGCTTGTTCGGCATGGAGGCCCATGTGGAGGATGCCTTCAGGCCCCTGTTCGGCATGGTTCTGGGCAGACTTGCAGTCCTCGCCCTGAGTACGTGGCCCAGCAGGATCCTCCGGAGAGCAGATCCCCCTGTGTTCATTTGCTGGGTGACCCCATCCTCCCTGGGTGGCTCTGGCCGGGAGCAGTGGGTGGGGTAAAGTGGCTGTGCCTGCAGGGCACTGTGGGTGTGGGACCGCAGGCCTGCACCCTCAGGCCTCCATGTTTAATGGACCCAGAGGAGTGATCACAGGGCGTGGAAACCAAGTGGACAGGTGTTTAAATACTCCACGTGTTTGCTGAAGCCGGATGCATCTTGTTTTAAAAGGGGTTTAAAACTCCTTCTTGAGGTGTAGCCTTATTCCTTGAAGCAAGCTGGGCAGTGCCACCCTGAAACGCATGTGCACCCGGAGTCCCAGCGCTCCTGCGCAGAGCCCGGGCTCTGTCCTGGGCGCGGGCCTGGTCTGGGCGGGGTGGGTGCCGCAGGCCAGCGGAGGGAGGCGCTGCTCCGCAGTCACTGCAGTGAGGTCTCGCTCTTCTCCTGCAGATCCAGCTGTGGGACACCGCGGGCCAGGAGCGCTTCCGCAAGAGCATGGTGCAGCACTACTACCGCAACGTACACGCCGTGGTCTTTGTGTACGATGTCACCAACGCGGCCAGCTTCCACAGCCTGCCGGCCTGGATCGAGGAGTGCAGGCAGCACCTGCTGGCCAGCGACATCCCGCGCATCCTCGTGGGCAACAAGTGTGACTTGCGCAGCGCCGTGCAGGTGCCCACGGACCTGGCACAGAAGTTCGCCGATGCACACAGCATGCCTCTGTTTGAGACCTCGGCCAAGAGCCCCCATGACAGTGACCACGTGGAGGCCATCTTTATGACCTTGGCGCACAAGCTGAAGAGCCACAAGCCGCTGGTGCTCAGCCAGCCCCCCGAGGACGCGGTGGCGCTGCGGCCCGAAGCCAGGCCCGCACTGCCGTGCTGGTGCTGAGCTGAGCCAGCCAGGACTCCTCCCGTGCCGCGCACTCAGCATCTGTGTCGCGTCCCCTTCCTCAGGGCTGTCACTGTGGCCCCAGGAAAAGGTGCCTCTTACTGTGGATGCAGAGGAGGAGAGGAGGACGCATCCAGCACCTTCCGCGCACTGCCCCAGAGCCCCGGCCTGAGGGAGGCAGGGACAGGGCAGGTGCTTTGTATTCGCGCTGGGATCTGCAGAGAGCACAGAGCCAATGGCAAGCATCCGAGGAGCCGGATGCCTCCTGGTTAGCGTGGGTCCTGGTCTCTTGCTCTCCCCCAGCCCCCAATTAATTGAGCATCTAAGTGTTGGCTAAAATCAGTTTCCATTAGACTGCAGCTCTGATTCCTGAGTCTATGTGTGTTTCTGTAATGGTGTGTTACCTGTCAGTTTCTGTAGGGTCACAGAAAATAGTCCTCCTCCGTGTGCTAGATATGTTAGAGCCAGGTGTGGCTGTAGTCCCAGACACTGGAGGCTGAGGCAGGAGGATTGTCTCAAGTTCAAGGCCAGCCCAAATCAAGTAGTGAGACCCTGTCTCAAAAAAACACAGAAACACTCCAAAAAATATTTTGTTTCCCTCAGTTTTGAGAATGTTTCAATGTTTTTTCCCTACTTTTATTTTGAATTTAAAACTTTGCACAAAGAAAATGATGCATTTGCATATGAAGCGATTTACATAAGTGGAATGTAAGCCATGGACTCAGGTGACGTGGTACATCCCCAACTGGGTCTTGGCTGCCTTGAGTGTGGGTAGGAAGCCAGGCCAGGAGGTGATTGTACCTAAGGAGTTTGTTTAATCGTTGCAGTGGTCCTAATGCATTGCTTAGTCACAAAAACAAACATGGTTCTATTAAACTAATTGAAAGTAATAATTACAGTAAATCACAACAAATCATTATTGTTTGAAATAGTGTTATTTGCATTTTGAGAGATTAACCCATTTTTTCATTTTTCTTAATTATGCGAGAGTTAAAAATTTTTATGTAAATTAACATTGATTTCTAACTATTTTTATAGCAGAGCAATGACAGGTGTAGTACTGGTGATGGGTATGCTAGGTTTTTAAAGGAAGGACTCTTTCAGTTCAAAACATTTTTAAAAGTTTTTAAAGGGAAGAAAGTTTGTAGACTTTCCAAGCGTATCTGTTTTCTCAGTGTTTTATGAGTTTTTTAAAAAGTAATTTTCTTTTTTGTAAGAAGATAGGAATAACTTTCCATTACAATTATATGGAAGGACTTTTTTCACTTTAATATTTATTAATTTTAAAATATTTTTTATCTCATTTGCAACATCTTACCATTTTAATTTTTAGAACATGTTTTTATTTTTAAACAGAAGATACTTAGTTGAGTGGGGGTCGAGTTTTTACATATATTCCAAAATATTTATAAAGCACTTCGTGGACTGTTGAAATCACTTCCCAAAATGGTGGCTATCTAACAACTGTTAATTTTTTAAACACAAATCCCATATTTTGTAAATCTGTGAATTTAACTTTTGACCTTTGATTGAAATATCAGAATTGTTTAGAGAAGTGTTCACGTGAGAAAAGCAGGGCACCCACCCTGCCCTGCGGGGGCTACCTGCATCACCCCAGCCTGGGGAAGCGCTGCGCTGACCTGTGTCTCCTCGGGGAGCCTGGCTGCGTTGCCGTGGAGCAGGTCACGTTTTCTCTGTGATGCTCAATAAATCATCTTCGCGAGGAAAGAATGGTGTTTTGTTTCCTTTTTTTACTGGGTTGAATATGAAATTTCCAAGTGGACCCCTTTCCTCCACTGGTTTCCAGGTAATGTATATGTGAAAATTTCTAATGTAAAAATCCAAAATCTAAAACTTGACCAATTTTTGGACTTTATTTCAGATCAAAGGTACTCATCTAGAAAAGTTTATGAAGGTTTCCCCCCCCCACCCCGCAAAAAAAACCCTCAGCCCTCCAAAATCTGAAATGCTTACAGTTTCTAAGCACTTTGGATAAAGGATTCATAACTTTAAGCCCAGCCTGGAAAACTCAGGAACTTAGCAGAATCTTGTCTTAAGAAATAAAAAAAGGGCTGGGAATATAGCTCAGTGCAAAAGCTCTGGGTTCACACTCCAGTGTACACACACACACACAAATTATTTTTTAAACCATGTATCAGAGATTGAAGTTCTTTTATATGTGTTTATATTTATTTATTTTTAATGCTTAAAAAGTTGTATGAGTGGTGGGAAAAGAAACAAGCTCTGCAGAGTGAGTTCAGGCTGAGTAAAAAGCAGGAAAAGAGTCCTCTCCAGCATGAGGGCAGCCACCACACGAGACAGAACACAGCGGCCAAAAACCCGAGGCCTGACCTTTCTGGATCTCCCGCGCCCAGGCTGACGTCAGGCCCACCATCCTACTGCAAGCCTGCTGGGGTTTTCACAAGTGGTCCACATGAGGGGAACTGTTGTGCTGACTTCCAGCCCGCTCTCCTGGCTGCCCCTTCAAATGTGTTACCAGGTTTTGGGGTGCTGGAGTCTCAAGATTTTTTTTTTAGGTTCTTTCCTCAGCACAGAATTGATCAAGATAAGCACAAGTGCTTATTATTTTTATTTTATTAAAGGTAGGAAAAGAGCCAGCCATGGTGAAACACACTTGCAATTCCAGCGCTTGAAAGTCTCAGGCAGGAGGGTCACAGTGAGTTCAAGGCCCACCTGAACTACATAATGAGACCCTACCTAAAAAAAGAGAAAAGAAACGGGCTTTCAATTGTGTGCCTAAGATTTTCAAGCTGGTTTTAAAAATAAAAGAAAAAAACTTTATTCTTTCAGAAATATAAATAATTATTAATATTAAATTCAATAACTTTTAACTAACACTAGAATATTAGACCATATAAAATGTAACTATTTTTTAGTTACATTTTATATGGTAAAGCAAAGGTAGTTTTTGCTTTTTTCTTTTTAAATATTTTCTCTATATTTGTCAGATTAGATGAATTGATCAATCTTGTATTAAGCACAGTATAAATGATTGTGATTTAATAAAGGGATCTGATTTGTGATGTAGTGTAGCTTGTACAGGTAGAATATATTTTTAAAGGAAAAAACGGGGTCAAAGCTTTTTTCCTTGCATTTTTAATTGATCTGAGGGATATTCTGTCTGAAATGTACTGAACTTGAACTTAGTGTCTGGTTTTTCTTCCTTATTTTCCTTCCAGTGCTTGAAATGTCTAACTGTTAAAAAGGAATTCGAGAGTGTCATTCATGTTTTTTTAATTATTATTAGTTTTATTTTTATTAGTACTGGGGATTGAATTCACGACCACACGCTTGCAAAGCAGGCACTTATGCTGCAGAGCTAAATCCCCAGCCCTGTCATACATGTTTTGAAAGTTTTTTTTATTTGACTGATAGTTTATTTTACCCTTGGTATAATAAAATTCCCACGAGGCATGGGTGAATGAGAAAAGAGAGGTTCTGCAGAGCATGTGTGCTGGGGACCCCACGTTATAACTGAGCCAGATGTCTGAGGCCGTCCTCGCCCTGCCCTGTAAGCCAGACCGTGGAAGCTCTCCGCCTTCTGCCGCCGCAGCTGAAGCCCTGTGGCTCTGGAAGCCGTGGCGTGAGGGGACGGCGAGGCCCGCCGAGGCTCTTTCAAGCAGTGCAGTAGCTGTGATAAAAGTTTTGCTTGGGGAAAACAAGTCTCATTCTTGCAAAAATGCTTGGTTCTTTTTACCTGCCCACAGCAGTCACCGGGAAAAGTACACTCCCCGCTCTGAACATGCGTGGGTCAGTCCTCAGTGGGCCGGCCGAGGGGGTCTTTGTGCCCATCTTGGGGTGCTGCCCCCTGCCCACCTTCTGCCTGACTAAATTGTCTGTCTCATTTCATCCTTAGCCGAACCCCTCATACAGGCAGGTGGGATCTCGGCGAGGTCCCCAGCAAGCGTGGGCCAAGAAAAAGCAGGAAAAGAGGACACCCAAGGCAGGAGAGCGGCCACCAGGCAGGAGAGAACACGTGGCCCCCACCCGGTTTTCATCCTCTTCCGTCAGCCCCAGGGCCACCCTAACAGCACGGCAGCCGGGGAGCAGCGGTGGGAGCAGCAGGAACTTCCGGTTCCCCAGTTCTGGAGGCTGCAGGGATCGCACAGCAGGTGTCTTCTGAGGCCTGTTGGAGAGACACTGTCCCATGCTTCTCTCCTGGCTTCAGGGTAGCGGGCTCTGGGGGTGCAGATGGGGTTCTCTGGCCCTCACAGCAGCAGCATCCACATGGGCTGTCCCTTGGGTCCTGACATCCCCAGTCACGCTGGGTTTGCCTTCACTTAGAGACCTCACTCTACCCTAATCACCTGTGGAAGACCCTGGCTCCCTGCTGCTGTGACCAGGGACAAGGACCCCAGCATCTGGGGGCGGCCCACAGTCCTTGACACCTCTCTTCCTCATTTCTCACCAACAGCACTCAGAGTGAGTTTGGTGTGACCAGTCCCCCACTAAATACCATTTCCTAACCTCCTTTACTGCTAGGTATCACATGCAGAACAGGTTCCCACAGCTAGTTCAGGCTGACCTTGTATTCAAAATCCCCCTGTCTAGGTCCACCTCAATGTTTAAAATCAGAGGTGAGCTGGGCATGGTGGCTTGTGCCTGTAATCCCAGCACTCAGGAGGGTGAAGCAGGAGGATGGTTCCGAGTTTGAGACCAGCCTGGGCTACAAAGTGAGCTCAAGGCCAGTATGAACTGCATAGAGAGACGCTGTGTCAAAAAAATAAAATAAAATAAAATAAAATCAGATGTGGACTGAGCATAGTGTGGGGTTACTGGTTTAAGGCAAAAAACATTTATTAGAGAGTTTTGAATAGTTTATGAAAAGATTTTCCTGGTACTGGGAAATGAGCCCAGAAAGCCTTGAGCTAGACCCTCCGCCCCTTTGTAAATTCTTATTTTGAAATAGGCTCCCATGAAACAGCCCAGGATAGCCAGGAACTTGCAGCCCTCCTGCCTCAGCCTTCTAAGCTACTGGGATGTCAGGGGTGCAGCTAATGTAGCAGGACCTGGGCCCAAGGTTTGGATGCTGCAAAGGTGAGAACAGAGGCATCCAGGAGAAAGGCCTGGGCAAACTCACTGTCTCCGCTGCCTGTCCCCAGCACACTGACACACATGACCTGCCGCCACCAAACCTCTCTCCAGGGCTCCTGGGCCTTTGACTCCCAGCTCCCCACCCACTGCCCTTTCTACAGGGTCAGAAACAGTGTCCCTGGGCTTAAAGGGAGGAGACATCGACTGTGCCTGTGGCACAGCCTGGCAGAAAGCCTCCGGGCCTTTTCAGTCAGCGGCAGAGAGCACAGAGCCACCTGGTAGCTTCCGCACTCTGCTGTTCATCATGGGGCAAGGGGCACAGAGGCTTATTAAACCGAAAGAACCGCCATGTGTGTTTCTTGCACAAACATCGGATTCAAGTTGTTCACTACATTTCATTTATTTATTTACTTGTGTTTGGGCTTTATTTTGTTTTTGAGACAAGATCTCACTATGTAGCCCAGGCTGGCCTCAAACTCACAGCCATCTTCCTGCCTCAGCCTCCTGAGTGCTGAGATTACAGATGTGTGCCGCCACATCTGGCATTGACCATGTTTATAAAAACAGGTGTCTGGAACGTATTTCATGTTGAGAAACATGCTTCTTTAATAATTATTTTTACAAAAATAAACACAACCTAATTCTTCTGGCTGAATATTGGGAAATGTTGCCTTTTGATGTAGGTTTTTTTCTTTTGAAAAACTTTTATTAGCATATGTTTGAATAAATAATGAATATATTCACATTTGTACATTAACATTCTGTGCTTTGATCCTTTTTATTTCCCCACCCCTGTCCCTTCTGCCTCCCCCATCTCATCTTTCTGAAATTCTAAAGAGAATTCTGAAAATCTGAAGATTCTCTATCCTAGCATTTTATTTCATTTATTTTTGTCTTTTTGAGACAGGGTCTCCCTGTGCAGTTCAGGTGGGCCTTGTGCTCACTTTATAGCCCACGCTGGTCTCCAGCTTGCCATGATCCTCCTGCCTCAGCCTTCCAAGTGGTGGGATTACAGGTGTGCACCACCATACTATCCTAGCATTTTAAAAGTTAGGGTTTCCCACTCTGTTTAAAGCTCTCCCAGTTAAGACTTACCCTAGGCTTTGGGCCCATTTGTTAAGAATACAAATATGGCCCGATTCGTTTGGGAGAATACTGTGAGCAAATGGACCACAGTGAGAAACCTCTGCATCGCGTCAGGTGAACAGAAAACCCAGGAGCAGGGCTAGTGAGTTCCGACAATGATGCGCTGCTTCTGGTTTCACTTTTGATTTTTTTCTTCTGTTTGGATCTGAGGTCATTTGTATTTTCAGCTTTGTTAGTTATTACATGCAAGCAACAACATGAATTAGATTTAGAAACAGACCTTCATCCAGCTTTATAGCAAACTGTTAAATAAAAAGTTTGCAAAACAGCGGGGCATGCTGGTACAGGCTGTGATCCCGGCACTCAGGACACTGAGGTGGGAGGACGCCCTTGAGCTCAAGGCAAGTTTAGACTGAGTAGCAAAACCCTGTCTCATCGCACTTGGAAGATGAGGCAGGAGATCATTTTGAGTTTGAGGCCAGCCTGGGCTGTACAACGAGATCTAAGACAAAGCAAAACAAAACAAAAACAAACTGTCTCAAACAATAAACCAAAAAATTATTTTTTTGAAATTACCAAATAGTAAATAG